TCCTTGGGTCTCTCAGGGAGGAAGAGGGGACCACCCATCGAGGTGGGTCACTCCCAAGCCTGCCAAGCACTTTGGGCTGCTCCAAGGGGCCTTCCCCTCGGTGCTCCTGTACCCGCCTCAGACCCAGAGGGCGGGAACTCCTGCTTCCTGGTGGTTGGCCAAGTAAAGGGGAAACCAGTGTCCTGTCCTTGTTGAGGTGTCTTTGTGCCCTCCTCAGAGTGTCCCACATCTGAGTCTGTCACTTGATGGGCTGTGGATGATGGAGGAGTCTTTCCTCTCCCTTAAAGTAAAGGGCGTTCCTGTGGTCCGCCCCCAGCTCCTCCATCGCTGGTAATAAATAGGGTGCCCGTGGTGACAAATAAAATAAAGCCACCTTTATTCATTTATCCGTCTGTGTCCTCCCCACCGGCATCCTGTTTGCAAGCTGCGCAACATCAGACACTCGATCATGCTGCGTCTGTCTCTCCTTTCTCCAGGGGGTTGTGTCCTGTGAGCTCTGGGTGGCGTGGCTGTCTTCTTGCTCAGCTAGCCTCAGAGGCTGGGCTTTGCCGTGGCCTTGCTCTGTGGCCCTAGACACGTCCCCGTGCAGTCTGGGCCTCAGTATCCCCATCTGTAGGAGACTAGGGAAGACCCTGGCGGTCATAGCTTCGTTGCCTTCCTACTTGTTGCCTTGTTTACCCACATCATCTAACTCAGGGCTAGCTTCAGAGAAAGGAACAAACACATCGAACTCTTCGTCTTGGGGGAAAGAGCCCAATCAAGGCCTGTGAACATTGCCACCTCCAGCTGCACATTGCCCAGACCCGGGGAAGGGGGCAGGTGGGAGGTGGGGAGGATGGGTGTCTCCCTTGCCTTCACCATTTACTGAATGTCTCCTGTGAGCCAGCACATGCCGGGATAAAGGTGGCAACAGCGGGAAGGTTGTGCAAACAGCTGGGCTCAAATGCTGGCTCTGTTTTTCCCATCCTGTGTGACCTTGAGCGAGTCGCTTGACATCTCAGAACCAGTCCCCTCCGTTTGGAAGGGAAGCGAATGAAAAGCTGTCAGAAGCCTCTCATGTGCCGGTGGTCCCGTTGGATTCTCGTGGCCTCCTGGGCCTTGTTGGTAGCATCGAGCCCATTTTGCAGAGACAACACTGAGACCCAGAGTGTGCTCAAGAGCAGTGCAGGGCCACACCACTACTATTTTACGGTTGCCTGGCTTTGGAACCGGGGGGCTTCTTTGCTGCTGCACCGTAGGGACGGGACTCCACAACCCCGCGGGCCACACGGGGCTCTGAGCAGCCGGGGAGACGCCGGGCTTGTTTGAAGGGGCTTGTGGACTCTCAGTGGCGGTGAGCGTTCAGACCCCTGTTCCGGCGAGCAGGGGAGAGGACCGGACTCGGAGACGCGGGAGCATCTCAGACCAAGCCCGATGCTGTGGGCAGCTGCGTGGGGGCCCGAAGCCAGCCGTGTCTGGACCCTGGGTTTTAAAACAGACGCTGGAAGAAGAAGAAAGAAGAAGATTGGAAGGAGATTGAGAAGACGGGCGCACGTACCCCCATTCAAGGGGGGGTTCCCAAGCGTGACTCCCGTTGCACGCCCGTTCCGCAGGTGGGCTGCACACGAGCCCCACGCTGCCCCCCACAAATGCAGTAGAGATGTATTTATGCAGCAGGCGTGAAGGGAAACTATGAGGAGCACAGCAGCCTTGGGACTTCAGGGCCGTTACTGCTGAGCACGGGGCTGGAGTAAGTGGCGCGCGGGTAACTCACGCGATTGCGTAAATGACGGGTGCCCGGCTCAGGACCAGGGAGAGGAACTGGAGTTTGGAAACCACTGTGCTAAATCAGTGCCCCCCCCCAAAAAAAACCCCATTGCCCCCCATGGTTACTGACACCGCAACCCAGGGTTGTCAGATTTAGCCAATCAAAATACAGGATGTCCTTTTTAAGTTCCAGATAAACAACGGATACTTATTTTAGGGTACCCACATGCCGTGTGGTATTTGAGATGTTCCCCGCCAAGCCTCTCCGGAGGGCCAGGTGGCTGCTGGTGGAATTGAGTTGTCCATCCCCTGGCTTCCCCCCGCCTCCCCAGCCCCCAGGACCTGGAGGAGAGGCTCACGCCCAAAACGATGCCCTGGCAGATCAGGTCTCTCAGATGCTAGTTCCTTTAATTAAACTGCTGAGATGGAAATAAAGTGTGTGGGGTAGATTAAAATTGATTCCCTTAGCTTAACAAAAGCCAGAGCTCTTGAGAGAGATACTTAAGGAAGCGGAGCCCTTGAGCAGACGGGGAGTGCAGGCTGGGCTACAACCCGGAGCTGTGGGGGCCACGGGGTGGGGGTGGCGGAGCGGGCTTGTGCTGGGCAGAGGGCAGGGGTGGAGGCCGTATCGTGACGTGGGTGCAAGGGGGCCCGGCAGGAGCTACCCTCCACCCTCAGGGAGGCCCGCGTGCCCACGGAAGTTCTCCTGTGTCATGGCCCTGCTGCTCCACACCGGGGAAAGCCAACCCGGAGAGAGGCCAGGACGGGGCTGCCGAGGCAAGATGAGAAGTGGCAAAATCCATACCTTAATGCATAAGCACTTATGGAGCCCTGGCTGTGTGCCAGGCCCAGAACCAGGGGGTTGGGGCTCGTCTCAGGCTCTTCCCAAGGAGACCAGCTGGGGCCGCCGAAGTTCCCAGGAGCCTGGGTTCTCAACAAGGGGGCTCAAAGAGGCGGAAGGAGACAGAATTGTAGGTGTTGCTGGTAGCGCTGGGAAACAGATGCTGATGACTGGAGACATTTGGAGGAGGACAATCCTGGGCCAGCACCCCATTTTTACACCTGAGGAAACTGAGGCACAGAAGCTTTTGGGGGGTTCACTTGAGCTCACATGGCACAGAAGTAGCAGAGTCAGGATTTGAACCCAGGTCTGATGTCTTTGAAACCCTTAACCTCCTGGATTGTTGGGGGCGGGGCGTGTCATTGAGGTTTTGAAGCAGGAAAGGATGTCATGTAAACAAGAAGTTGAGGGAGAGTTAATCAGGTGCCAGGTCTGAGGCCGGTTTAGAAGTTAATGCAAGGAGGAGATGCTCTCTCGGGAACCTCCGTGTGAGGAGGAGGAGACCCAGTTTGGGGGGCCACTGGGGGTGGAGGGAGGAGAAGATTGGGTGAGACCTGTTGAAGTGTTACCTGGGGAATAAAGACGGAGTTGATGATGGGGCGAGTTTTCAGATGTGGGTGCTGCGGGCAGGGCTAGGGAGCGATGGCAGGATGATGGCTTTGAACATGCTGGGTTTGAAGCAATGCCATGTGTCCCCAGGCAGAGCTCCTGACGACAGCTCAGTAGGAGAAAGCAGGAGGGCCTTGGGGCCATGCTGACCTGGGTCTGTCTCCTGGCTGTCCTCTTCACTGGCTCTGTGACCGCCAACTATTAACCTCTCTGAACCTCTGTTTTCTCTCTGGTGGAGTGGAGAGCAAGGATACCTCCTCTGCGGGATGTTGAGGATATCAAATAAGGAAAAAATATGTGTAAAGGAATGAACAAGGTACTTGGCACACAGCGTCCGGTAAAAGGCGGCTTGAAATTTGGGGCCTCAGGCTGGTGTCATGTTCTGGTCCCCAGTGGGCTGCAGCGGAGATGGTCCTGGTGCAAGGAACAGGTGTCTGACTTTTCATTCATGTGAGGGACTTTTGTTGAATTCCCACTGTGTGCCAGGCCCTGGAGACACAGTGTGGGAAAACCCAATTACAGCGCAAATTGGAGCCCACTCTCGAGTACAGGCGGCATGAGAGCGGAGCGGGGCTGTCTCGCCCAGCATGGCATCCTGGCACAGAGCGAGGCACCTGCTAGGTGTGCAGTCCATGTTGTACGGGCTCATGGAGGCAAAGATGCCGTGGGACTTCTCAGAGCACATCCAAGCTGGTGCAGAGGGGAGACGCAAAGTCTGTGTCTGCATCTGTTTTCTGTCCTGGAAACTCCCCCACCTGCAGGCCAGGCCTTAAAGGAAAGACGAGAAAGTGGGGACCAGGGTTCTGATTCTCCATCTCATCAACACATCTTCTTTTATCTTCTCTTTCTTCCAAATTCCTCCGTGGCTCACCTTTTCCAAGTTCTGCTTTGAAAAATGCTGGGAAAACCCCCTGGGGCTTGATCCTGAGCCATCAGCAGGCTGGGAAGCTGGGGAGAAGGAAAAGCAGGCAGGGACGATTGGCATTTTGAGGGTGCCCTGCAAGGCCGTGGTGGGGAACAGCCCTGGGCAGCCCCTTCCCCGCCGCGGGCTTAGCGCCCCCTCCAGGAAGAGCAAGGAAGAGAAGCAGTGGACCCTCTGAGTGGAACTGCAATGGGAGTCTGTCAGAGGCCCCATCCCACTCTGAGGCATCGTCCTTCTAGCCTCTTGGATTCTGTCACAGGTTTATTTTTATGGGAAGGCTACTTTTTTCCTTTTATTTTTTAATCCTTTCACTAAAAAAAAAAAAGTATTTTTACATAACAAAACTGCCTACTTGTTGCAAGAATCCAGGCGATATGTTATTGCTTTAATGGGAGGCTAGTTTTCTCACTTATTGCTTCTTTCTTGAGTAAATTAATATGTTATTTGTATTTTAAGGAAATATGTGCATGCTTGAGGTAAAAATTTCAACCCTGTAGAAGGGTAAAAGGGAAATAATGGAAGCATGCCTTCACGTCTCTCACCTCGTCCTCCCCCCTCTGCCACCCCTAACCAGACCTCTGGGATCGCTGTTGTAGCCTAGATAAGGGGACCCTTTGGGAATCTTATTGTAGACACACCTCTCTAAACCACTGCTAGGTTGAGGGGAGGTGGCCTTTTTTAGTAACAGGAGCATGAGCTCAGGTTTAGGATTGGAAGGTTGGCTCTACCATTGACTTGCTGTGTGACCCTCAGGCATCCACATAACCTCTCTGAGCCTCAGTGACCTCCTGAGCAGGCTGGGATCAGGGCTCTGAAGCCCCGGGCATGAGTCAGTGTCCTGCAAGCAGCCCAGGTGACTGTGTCATTTGGTGGTCTCGGCAGGTTGGGGACCAGATTCTGGAGGTGAATGGGCGGAGCTTTCTCAACATCCTGCACGACGAGGCAGTCAAGCTGCTCAAGTCTTCGCAGCACCTCATCCTGACGGTGAAGGACGTCGGGAGGCTGCCCCACGCCCGCACCACTGTGGACGAGACCAAGTGGATTGCCAGTTCCCGGATTGGGGACACCAGCACGAACTCGGCAGGGTCTGATTGCACTCCTCACTCTGATCTGTAATAATCCTGAGAGTCTGGGGTCCCTATCCCAGGGTCCTTTGCAGTTGCGGGCATGACCTTGGGCACATCCCTTCTCCTCTCCTGGCCTGTTTCCTGTGGAAAGCCGAACTGCATCATCTCGGGCAAATCACTTAACTTAATCTTGGGCCCTTAGTTGCTTTGTCTGAAAAGTGGGGATCATCACCCCTGCCTCCATCCAACTCTGGGAATGAGGACCCTGTTACCTGAGGAAAAGGGTCTTGGAAGTCATAAAGTGACTATAGTTGCTGATAGTGTCACGTGTCGCCTTTGGATTTCCAACAGGAGTCTCAGCCTGGCTGTGGCCTCCCAGGCCAGATCCACCCACAGCATCTCTCTCCCTTCCTTTCCTCCTCCTCTCCTGCCTCCCTTCCTTTTCGCCAGCGCAGTATCATAAATTAGTTAGCTACCAACTTTTTAAAAAGCATCAGGTTTCCCATGAAAAAAAAAAAAAAACCAACTCGATTTCTGGCTGCTTCTTTAAAATAAGGACTTCTGGTGGCTTGAGCGCATGTTTTTTCATGAGATTAGGCTGGAACTGAGCTGCACCTGTGAGTTGCCTCTCTGGGTCTCCAGTTTGCCCCTGTCTTCCCCCCTCCCTAGGGTTGGCCTGACCCTGAGGCCATGGGTTGTCTCCTGTCCTTGTGTTACCTGCCTGGTCCTGTAGGGTTGGAAACGAGTCAGGAGTCCACCTTGCTCGGGTTGAGAAGCGCTGCCCACAAGATCGATTGGGAGGCCAGAGCTGCTCGGCTGTCCAGGGGGTCACGTCCCCTTGAGCAGGGTCACGTCCCCTTGAGCAGCCTCACGTCCCCTTGAGCAGCCCCGGCGAGTGGAGGCCAGGGCTCTCTCCTCCCGCTCCAAATCAGCCTCTTCCTTGCTCGTGCCTATCCAAACTGCTCAGTCAGGCAGCTGAACACAGTTGTCTTTCTCCATAGGTTTCCTGGGGATCTTCCCACGGAAGGGACAAACAAGGTAGGGCGCTCCCCATCCATGGCTATCTTTGGCTTCTTCATGCATCCCTTGGGGGGTGGGGTGCTCCAGGCCTGGCAGGGTGTGCAGCCATCCACATGCATGCTCCCATTTCATTTGGGCAGTCTGCTGACTGTCCGTCCATCCTCCATTCCGCACATGTCTGTGAGCACCACCAGGTTCTGGGCGACACCCCAGGGCCCAGGGAAGATGGCGCTGAACAGACCGATCAGATCCCTGCCCTCACGGAGATTATACCAAGTGAAGGAGACACACAGAAAAAAACCCTGCCCATATATCTAATCACAGAAGATGTTCAGTGCCATCGGGCCAGGTGCTGGGTAGCATGAGAGAGAGGAACAGATGGGACATCTGATTTAGGCGGGGTGAGAGGCAGAGGGGAGGGCGAAGGCTCTCTGAGTTGGTGACACGATGCTTGGGCTGTGCACTGAATGTTAAATAGAAGTAGCCACATCGGAGTCTGGTGCAGGGGCAGGACGGGATGGTCTAGTCGGAGGGCGCAGCCCGTGCCAGAGCCCCGCGGTGGCAAGGAGAGCACGAGGGGGTGTGGTGAGCGAACAGGAGGTGGGAACAGAGTGACGACAAGCCCGGTCACTGGATCACATGGGGCTTTGTCGGCCGCCGAAGAGGTTTGGCTTCTAACTGAAAATAGTGGGATACCATGGAAGGGCTTAAGCAGGGGAACAAGACGAGGGGATGTCTGTTTTTACAAGATCATTTCAGCAGCTCTGCGTAGGTGATAGGGGAGGCAGAGGGGATAAGAGGGGACACCGATGGCATCTTAGCCACAGCTCTGGATGATGCCAGAGGCAGTGGCAGGGAGGGGAAGGGGCTGTAGGCACATCTGCGCTCTATCTCGGAAGTAAAGTTACCATTATCCCCGATTTACCGAGGGAGATCCTGAAACCCGGAGAATAAATTGGAAACCATAATAAAACCGCTCAGCTCTGAACAATTAGAGCTGAGATGACATGGACCAGTGCTGTGTAGGGCATGGAGCCCTTTGCAACCGCACGAGGCCACAGAGTCTGAGAAGGGACCCGTAACCTCTCCTGCAGGTGCACCGTGCAGGCCGAGGCCACAGAGGAACCCCCCCGCCCCCGCACTGTGGTCACTGGCGTGGCCCGGCCACGTGGCCCCAGAGCTGTTCAGAATTCCCGGCCCCCTGTCTTCCTTTCTTTCAGCTGGGGTTCTATAAGGGGCCCGCGGGCTCCCAGGTGACGCTGAGCAGCCTGGGGAACCAGACACGCCTGCTGCTGGAAGAGAAGGCGTGCCACCTGCTGACGGAGCAGGAGTGCGCCACCATGGCCTACTACCTGGAGGAATACCGCGGCAGCAGCATCTCTGTGGAGGCCCTGGCCATGGCCCTGTTTGAGCTGCTCAACACCCGCGGCAAGGTGACCGGAGCCCCTCGTCCGGCAAGGCAGCGGCTCCCGAGGGCTCTGCCTCCTCCCTGCCTCCCTCTGTCCCCCACTCCTTTCCTGAGAACCGGCAAAGAAATCAGGTGGAATGGCCCTGGGGAGAGACTAGTGACCGAGGTGGCGCCCCTTGTCCCAGGGAAGGCAGCCCACAGACTGCTGGGGAAATAGTCGGTTAAAGTCCCCTGTGATGCGGGCCCTAACGAAGTAGCTGTTGATGCTGAGCATGCATTTAGAATCATCTGGATTGCTCTTCAAAAGCGATGCCCGGGCCCTGCCCCAGGCTGGTTAACTCCACACACATCTGTGGATGGGAGCCTGCCCCAAGCCCTCAGGTGCTGCCAGCTTTGAGAACCCTGCTCTAGAGGAGGTCTGGGGTCCAGAAGCTGCATAAAGGAAGACGTGATTAAACCCCCAGAGGAGTGGTTGCATGTGGGGAGGTTTAACAGACAAGACGCGATTTGGAGAGAAGTAGGGAAGGGCATTCCAGGTGGGAGGGACAGCCACGGGCTTCCTGGCGTGTTGTGCGTGCTTGCTAAGATGCCAGTGAGGTGAGAGGGAAGCTGGTGTCAGATGAGGCTGGCCCAGCGTCCAGGCCGTGGTGCTTGGACTTCTCCTAGGACAGTGGGGAGCCACAGGGGCTTAAGGAGGGAGAGGCCAGCGGTCAAGTTTGCATGCAGGTCATTTGGAGTAGCAGGGGATGGGTCCCCCCTGAGTGCCCTGTTTGTCCCCATCCCCAGTTCTCGCTCCTGTCTGAGGTGAGAGGCACCATCTTCCCCCAAGACCTGGACCGCTTCGACCACCTGGTGCTGAGGCGGGAGATCGAGTCCATGAAGGCACGGCAGCCCCCGGGCCCCAGGGCCGGGGACACCTACTCCATGGTCTCCTACAGCGACATGGGCTCATCGACAGGCAGCCATGGCACCTCCACCACCGTGAGCTCGGCCAGGGTGAGCTGCCCCTGCCCCATCCCTGGCTTGATGGCCAGGGGGTGGGGTGTCAAGATCGTGGCTTTGCAGTGAGACGGATCTAGGTGTGAACCTCAGCCCCACCCCTTACCAGCTCTGTCCCTCGCCTTTCTGAGCTTCCAGTTCTTCCCTTGGAAAAACCTCATCGGCGTTGCAGGCCTGATGCGTGCCCAGCAAGGCACTAGGAGACAGCTAGTGACCAAGACAGATGTGGCCCTGCCTCTTGGGCTCGCAGTCTGCCAGGGGGATGGGGGGTGG